GAGTTTAAATAAAGCAGTCTGGTGTGAGAGGCTGGCTGTTCTGAAAACTACATTCAGGGTAGAAGATGGACTTGACTTTGCCTAACTGTTAGAAAACCTCACCCTTCACTGTATCCTCCAAATATTCCAGGATGCCGGCTGCAAATGAGCTCATTTCCCAAAAAGGCCAGGGCTCACTGGCTACAGTTCTTGGCAATGAAGCCAAGAGAAGTGAAAAGAGATGTTAGAAGAATAGGAGAATACAAATCAGTGGCTGCAGTTGCTTTAGAAACCTACTTCCCTCCCCTGGCTACGAAAAAATAAGTCTCTTATTCGTAGTCTTTCTAAAAAAAAAAAAATAAATAAAGCCTGTAGCGGAACTTGTGGAGTACTCAGTAAAGAAATCAATACTTATTTAACACATAAACTAAGAGATGCTTATGGAGCAAACCATGACCCTGTGGACTGGTAGTTGCTAAGTATGGAGAGAAAGCTCCAACGTTTATGCATGCTCAGAGTAGCAGACTTTACGGAAATAGCATAACTACCGTTGTGTGATAAAGACACATAACCGAAACCTCGGCTGTGAGGATTAACTGTATGCACAACCCTGGCCTTACTTCTTCTTAATCATCCACTTGAAAAATTTCCAAAGAAACCCAGGCATGGCAGGAAGTGGCTTTGGCAGCACCTCAGCTGGCGATCTGCCCTCTTAGTCAGTAACGAACTAAGTCCTGATGTGGTGCTAGGAGGATCTTTGGGCAAAAAGTAAATCTGAGGCCCTAGCTATCTGCTGCCATTTTGATACCATGTTGCTGCTTTCTGCCAGAGGCAAAAATGCCTTGATCTGGCCTCACCAACAAGTGTTGTTAATAAATGCATTCTGCTGATGTAAAATTCCCTGCTGAAGTTGGTTCGTGATCCCCCATCACTCACATATTTCATGTGGAATGTGTATGTTCAAATTCCTTCCCTAGAAGGTGGCTATTCTTCTGTTACACATCATGATAAAAGTTGAAAATGAAAGGCCCGACATGACCCATGCAGGTCCCTGTACAATTATATGAATGCAATTATATGAAGTTGTCCCTTCTGAAAATACACACCCCTAAGGCTGATTCTCTAACTGCTTGCAAGCCCCTTGTGTACCCCTTTTCCTCCATGTCCTCAGCATTAGAGCAAAAGATTATTTCAGGAGTGTCTTTTTATCTGAAATGTACCCCTCTCTACAGGAAAGAATCTGCTAGAAGGTGCTATAAAAGACAGTCATGAATCATTGACGCATATTAAGAGATATTTCTATATCTCCTCTCAGGCATGAAAGAAAAACTGAGATAACACTCAAGGTTGTTAAAACTCAATCTTCTCCTTTGTATTAGATAGTACATGTAAACAGGACAAGGTTATGAAAGAAACAGGTGGCCTCAACGTACAGTGCTTTAGGGGAAAAACAACATTAAAAATTACACTCAGTTGGGCTAGAAAGAGTTATTTGCAGCAAGCACTTATACTACAAGAACGTACAAATACCCCAGCAGGGTTTAGTGCCATTTTGCTTCCGAAGCTGTGCAGAGCCCTGTGCACGCGCACAAAACTGAGGCAGCTTTGCAGGCTTGGCAGGTGTCTGTCTGCTGTCTCACATGTACAGCGTGCAGTGAAAGTAGGAAGGAAAACAGACTGCATGCAAGATCAGGCCTTGTGGTCGTGGTGGCGTTAGCAGAGCAGGCAGGTTCTGTGGCGATAAGCACAACATGTCTGTGTAGACAGATAAATTACAAAGCTGACTGTCACCCACCGAAACTCACAGGGACAGGATCTGGAGGAACAGGACCTCACACTGTTGATGGTGCTTCTGTAGCACAAGGATGAGTAGTTAGAAAAGCAACATAGGGTCTATTTTACACAGTGTTGTGCTCTTCATTCTCACTTGTGGCTGAACTAAAAATGTTTGCTTTTCCTGTGTTCATTGTAAGACTAATCTATCTCCATTTGTCTGTTTTCTTACTGGGGTGCCAGAAGGTGCTCCATGGACCATTCTCCCGTGATCCATGGACACCACTTGAGAAACGCTGCTGTGGAGATGTGCAACTGAGAAAAGACGTGACTCCCAACTCTCTGAAGGGACAAGTAGAGAGCCCAAGCTAGGAAATGCGCTCAAAATTCATTCCATTGTTTCACTGAGGTTAGTGGTATTACCTAAATTGACAAGATCACACAAGCTTTGTTTCTGAACCTCATTTCTCCCATTTTGACTGGTCTATAACCAACAGGCAGGCTTTATACCTATCCTCTTCATGGGCAGAGGTGAAGTCATCCTCCTTGAACAAAGGGCAATTTTGTTTTTTAAGTCACTAGCTGAACAGGCAGCCTTACCTAGAGTTTATTTCAGACTTTCACTTGACTAATTAAAGATGAAAATGAACTACAAAAGAACTGTAGGGAAATACCTAACAACTATGAACTTGACTCCACTGGTGAATCTGATGACCTACTGCTGCAAAACAAAACATGCCGAGTTGAGTGGATGATTGTGAAACAGTTTTACAGTAAGACAAACCCCTTGTGCTTGCACACTAGGATACGGATAGACAGTACTTAGATGTACCTTGGCAATGCTTGAACAAAGCCGAAACATAGAATCATTTGTGAATCTGAAAACTGAAAGGAACCCAAAATACTTTGTCGAGGGATTTGCTCTGAGGCTTGTATCACTGATGGTGGTACTCCACGGTATGTGCAGGAAGCCTATTCTCTCCTTTGGAGTGCTGTTGTCAGCTGAGATCACTGTGGCTTGATTGTGGGGCTCAGCTGTGATGGGCTCACCTTAGGTAAACTCATTCTACAGGCTCAGGCTGAGAGCTGCAGAAAATTGTCTCCCCTAGGTAGCTACAGTAAGGTGCTGCTAGAAATCTGCAGCAGCAGCCCTAAACCGGATGTTTGCTTTTAAAAAAAGTAGGCTGATTAAAGGCGGCGAATATAAACTCTTAAATTAAAATACTGAAATTCCCATCATGAGGCAAAACCTACCCAGTTTATTACTGTCTGTTCTGAGAAAAATGGAAGTGTGGAGTCTCAATTCATGCAAAAGAAAATGTGTTCATTGAAAATGACCTAAGCCTTTATTTTTTTTCCATATTAAACCAGGGGAAAAAAACCCTTTTGAGTATGTGGTGCCAGAAGCTAGACGATGTACACCAGTGAATACAAGTAAATTTAGATTTAAAGCTAAAAACTCTGCTGTACCAGAGCCATTTGGTACCAAATGATACACAGGACTATCAAAATGGGCATTAAAACTGACCCCACCATAATATGACTGCCTGAGGCAAGGCTTTCAGATGCCAGGTACAAAATTTACAGCCTCCAGAGAAGTGAAAAATGCCTTATCATATCCTCCTCTGTCCTGAGTTGCTCTGGGAGTTAGAAGGACTTCAGGACAAGTTCAGCAGACATGAAAGTTGTTGGGTGTACAGAGCCTCCACTGCCTAAGAGCCATATGCTCATTTACCACTGCCAGCCTACATATCCCTAACTTTAACTGTGCCTCAGATTCAGCACCAGAAGCAAGCAGCTGTTGAGCTAAATTCTAAGTTAAGTGGGTGTTTCAGTGAGGCTTTTCCTTAATATTCTAAAAAATGCTTGAGGGTTTTCCAATACATACACTTATGTCATCTTAGACTTGAATAGTCCTATTTTATTGTAAATTTGCACATACATTATTTTCTAGTGGCAAATAAATTACCTGTAAGAATTGCATTTTAGTACAAAGGGAGAGCTGTATTATCCATTAGGCATGAAGAATCTTCCCCCCCACAAAAAAAAATTGACCAAGAAAAAAAAGTAGTTTTGCATGGTTAGATTTTGTCTGGAATATTAAAACTAGCTGAAACTATGTCTGTTCCTTAAAAAAAAAATAATTCTTATTTGACAGTCCTTGTGGACTTATTTTGATCCAAAACTTCATAACTTTTTTCTGAAAGAAATGATAAAATTAAAGACATTCACATCAGTGTTCAATATACAGCTTTTTGTGGCAAAGAATGTATGAAAGTAGGTTTCATCCCCCAACTTGTTAATCCAAAACCACTTTGCCTGTAGAGTAGGAAGTTTTAATAAAAAACCTGAGACTCCTTGAAGGTGTCACTCAGATAAAATCTTTCTAATTCTTGCTGGACCCATCCAGACAAAATCGATAGAAGGCTGTGTTTAAAGCATATGTGAAGCTTTCACTGCCTCTGCTTTACTTGCACTTTAAAAATCATCAACTGTCTTGAGGTCAGGAGGGCTTCTTTGATGGTGGATTTGCTTCTTCAATTTCAGCTTTTAAAAAAACTACGCAGCTATGTGAAGATCCGTATCGGTCCTGCACTTTCAGAACAGGAAGATAAGCAAGAAGCAAAACGTTCTCGAAATCTTGCCGTTGCTAACCTTGCTCAAATGGGTGAGAAAGGGAAGAAAAAAAGCACAGTCTCTGTGCTACACAAAAGACACTATTACTCATCTTTGCTGAATTTGTGCTTTGCCTCTCACTCCTCACTGTCACAGCTGCTTGCTCGCAGCATGGTGTTGGTGGATGCCAAATGCACCATGGCACAGCAATAATGAGAAATAAGCTACCGGGGAAAATTATTCAAAATCACTTTGCAAAGGAGGTGGTGAACGTAGAGGATGACTTGGAGGTGGGGGAGGTCCACAGGAAAAGGCTAATTCTTTTTTCCTTCTCAGAGCTGTGAAACATTCAAGTGCCAGAGGCCTGGGAGTGTTGAAGGTACTTTCCCAGTAGTCGTACAGAAATTTCACTCTCCCTTTACTTCCTTTCCCATCAGTTGTGTCCTCCCTCCATCCCTAATTCCCCAGAGCTCCAACCCCAAAACACTTTTTCACAATTCTTTCCACTCTTAAGGAACCGGTCACCCACTCCCACATAGCTGGAACTGCACCCAAGGTAACAGCCCTTTTCCTGCCACCTTTTTGTCCTTCTCCCTTCCACAGAGAAAAATTAGACAGTATCTGTGGTTACCGAAGGGGCTGGTATTTGACTAATCAGGTCTCTTGCAAAGACTCCAGGGGAGTCAAACCCTTGAATTGTTTAATAAAGACTAAGAAATAATTATTGCCTAATGGCCTCATATAACTTAAAATAAACCCATTAACTTAGGAGACTTACAAAATATCTCCTAATCTGTGTAAGCTGAGACAGTACACAGCTTCCAGAGGATTTAATTTCTTTCTTTCATCTACAGAAAGAATAATTAGGACCAGCCCTGCCCAGAATGATATGCACTAAAGAGACATTTGGTAATTGTCTCCTAATAATATTCCAGGCAATATGCTTCAAACTAATTAGTACAGAGGCTGATGTTGTTGAAAAGGGACACACAAAAGACAGCCATATCATGTGAAAAACTGCAAAGTCACAATTTTGGAACTGAAATTGTGGTAAGGGTTTAATATCCACACGGGTAGACATGATGGCCACATACCCTTTCTCTTTCTAAGATCTTCAAGAAAATACAGATGAAACAATCACTCTGCATTGCTTCATGAAAAAAATTATATTCTTATAAAACATAAAATCTCTCTCTTGAATGCATCTACTGCTTTAAACAGTATTTCCATTGGTCTGGATTACATTTATTTGAAACTTTTCAAGACAAAGAATTAACACAAGCTGATCACAGGGTCTGACCTCCTCAGCATTTTTAGAAGAGATCCTCATACTTGCTAGGCACCAGGGGTAGACCGAAAACCAATTTGTCTGTCAGCACGCTGAAGGAAGGGCTGGGTGCTGTGCTTTCTAAATGCTGTTGGTTCAATGAGCCAAGAATAGTCATGGAGGTCTTAGTGGGTTGATCTGAAATTGAATCAAGCTGATGTCTGCTTCTGGGGGGAAGCTGACTTGATCACCAACTCCCAGAGCGTCTGTGGAGCCTATGGAAGGCTGGCAGAGCAGAAAAGGTCACATAGCATTCACCTCGGCCTAGCTTAGAATTTGCAAGCAGAAAAAATTATCACAAATACTCAACATGACTATCCTGCTGAATACTTCTTTCCCACTAATAGCTGGTCTTACTGTTTATCCTCAATGTGGAATCAAGTTTATTTTGGAAGCTTATTTTACAGTTCAATATGTTTTTAGCAATACTATTGCTAGTTACAATTTAGAGATAATATTTTCTATCATTCTGATTAATCCATTAAATAAATATGCAAATATATCAAGTGCTCTGTATAAAAATACATACACACAACAAACAACCCCTCATATAATAAAATCAAGATTAATAAAAATATGTACTATATTACACATATGAAACGTAGTTTTGAAACTATAATGAAACAATCACACATGAATCACAGGACATAATCTAAAAAGAACCAGCATATATATAATAATGGCAGTGCCTCTGTAAAGACAACTTGAGCATCTCCCTATTTAAAAATATATAAAAAACCCAACCAGTGTTGTCTGTGCATTTATAGTGCCTGGACATAAGGTAAACTAGGAAGAAGTTTGTGAGATTCTTCATTCAACATCTGTATAGGGAGATGAATAACATCACAAACTTTTTCTTTTTCTAAAGGAGAAATTTAGGCTCCAAGACAATGAAATATCTCCTTTACATTAAGACCTATATTCATTTAGGACTTAAAGAGAGGAATAATTCTTACTCTGGATCTCCATACTTAGTGAAATGAGTACCTAACACCAGTTTAAACATAGCCTTCAACAGAACATTTTGATTTGTAATGACAAATAGAAAAGCTTGCTTAAAAACATTACAGGGATTAAACAAAAACCAATGCACTGTTCATAGATGAAATATGCTGACCTACATAAAGTCAGACAACATCCTATGCATATTTTAAAACCTCTGCTTGTCCTGGGACCTTTTGCCCAGGCGTAAATTGCCCTGAGAAGATCTGCCTGCAGATACCAGGGCACTGAGCATCTCAGTGAAACACATGGGAAACTGCTGGAGGACTGCAATTCAGAAATATAATCAACAGCTTTATGTTCCAGTAAAGATCAGTGCGAGCTAAAGTTAGTATTTAGCCAGCTCAATACTCATCCTCCAGACTGTTTCAGATGGAGAAAAAAAATAAAATGCTTTAGCAGAACAGTTTCAAAGACAGATGCTGTGGTCAGTGAACAGGAACACTTGCATAACCCTGCTACAGGCCATCCCTATCCAACAGCTGACGCAGACCACAGGTTGCAATTACTTAAATTGTTTTTACTTGCATTTTCTTGGGCAGCCCAATTAGAAGTTATCGTTCCAAACTGCTTGCTTAAAAATAGCACAGACCACTGGTAGTAAATAAGTTTTTTTCTGACAATTCATATCAATATAATGCACAGCATCATAGCTTAATACAAATACTTTACATAACAGACACAAAAGGACAAAACACAAGCATATAACAATGCAGCTTAGCTACTCTACTATATTACATGGCTGGGAGAGTTTCCTTTCATTTTCTTTGACCTTTTCTGTAGAATTTGAATTTCTGGTACCGATACGCAAGCAATGTTTCTTTTTAAAAAGTAGATGGAAAAAATGTAGATGAAATAGAATTCTGAAGAAATTAGTGAGATCGTAGAAAAAGAACTTTTAAAATATCAGCAAACTGGTGCGACATAATAAGGGAAACAATTTTACTAGGCTCAGCATCTCCTAAGTAAAATGGAATAAAAACTAAAATATCTAAAATAGAGACCCATTCTTTGGGAATAAAATACTGTCATCTTCCCTAATGATCTCCAAATGCTTGATTTGTGCATGTGTGCTAGAGCTGGGGTCATTTTGTTTCATTCATTATCTTAACTAACAGACTCATTAAAAACATGCACAAACTTGGACCAATGAATGAGGGGGGGAGAAGAGCAAAGAATATCTCAAAAATTCAAGGATAATTGTACAGGTTGCTAGGATGATAAAGTATAGAACTTTATTATGTATCAGTTCACGTTTTCATCTCTTTATTACCCCTCCCGAGAAGACTTGCTGTATGCCCATAGTATCATTTAAAAATAGAGATAAATAAATTTTGTCCTTCTGGGTTTCCCTCATTGCAGACCAAACCACACATAATTACAAAATGTCACTTTCTGTTTATAGTGGCAGATTCTGAATGCACCCTCTGCTCTTCCTGGTTGGAAGGCATTTCTGAAGGATTCTCGTGTTTCAGACATTATAGAGCATGCCTTTTGGGTTTAGACTTGATTGTCACTCTTGACATTTTTTCCTCACTGACTCTTGTATCGTGGCAAGTTTAGTACCTTATATGTTTCTAAGATGGAGTGACTGGATACTTCTTAAGCTGCACACAGTGAAGACCTTCCATCTGGGGAATAATGACATAAACTTGTATGTCTCCTAACATCCAGGACACAGTGAAAGTCCTCTGTGGAGGGACTGGGAACTGAAAGCATTATGCAACTCTTGGGGCGTATTTCAGAGAGGACATGTCAATTTTTTAACCCTGGCAACATTGTAAAGTGATTAAAAAAGGAGTAAGACTTATGTTTATTTTCAAAAGACATCAGTAGCAGAGTGCATTTGTGAATTCCTGTTCAAGTTCCACATGATTTTGATTTCCCCAGCCCTGATCTACTTGGCAACATGGCACCATTACACTCCAGTCTTCATGTCAAGGTCATGATGATTTTGTGTTTCATTAACAGTCAGGAGTTCATCACATGCTTGTGTTCGGTCATTTGACCGTTCTTTATGAACCAAGTGCACCATTTCTTGTGATTTGCTGATGTCTCCATTTAATGCACTTGACTTCCTGTCCTCCACTGCCCCTTTCCCATTGTTAATCACTAGCTTTTTCTTCTGCCCACATCTAGAAAGAAATAAAAATAAAATACTATTAGTAGAGACTAACAGAAATTAGAAAAAAATTGAAGGTCAATATTTAGGAGAAGGTGATTGGAAAATAAACTTGTGTCTGCCAGTGCAGACTTACACTATGCAAAGTGCAAAGTTTCTCCATATCGCATATTTTAGTTTTGAAAGTATCCAAATGCATAACATTTGTCAGGAGCTCACTTATTCAATTTATATCTATTTTTCCTACATATAGGAATAACATTCATTACTGAATGCCAGAATTCTTTTTCTAACCTTTGAATATATCCACATTTATGAACTTTGTATATATCCCACTGTAAGGACACACCTCTGAAAATGCATGAGTTCTCAAGGGAATAGAAAATTCAGATCAAGCTCTCACCTCATTATACAAAGCAACTCTCTTTTTCTTTGTATTAGCATGTCAAGCCTAGAAGCCAATGAGCAGCAAGGAAATACAGAGCACTACTGCTGCTATCTGCAGCACAGTTCCTTATGATGTTAAGGTAGGAAACAGGTACTGTGCCTTTAAAGTTACACTCACTGCAGTGATGCCCAGTAAACTTTATATATAGCTCTGAATGAAAACACACACACACATTCCTTTAGAAAGTCACCAGTCCAAAACTGATGCGTGCTGGTCACCATGGGCTGCGTATTCTTCAATGCAGTAAGAAAGTACTAGTTACAGCTCTCAGGTTTGCTTCAGACTGTTAAGATGATTCTATGGCTACACACTCTTGAACATCCAACATTTCCTCAAACAGCCTTGTGTAAACTGAATATACATAGCACAGCTCTCCTAAGAGGGACAATGTCTCTGTGAAGTTGTACTTTTATGTGTTTCTTCTTAAAGGAAGCATATTTTGCCTGAATTACTAATTTGGCAGTTCAATTATACTATTATGTTTCAAAAATACTATTTTTTCATGCTTACTTTTTCATTTTCATAGATGAGGGTTATTTTATCTGAAATACCTCAGTTCCCTGTGCTAATGTTACACACACCCTTGGGAATGATTTCCTGCTCTGTAGCCATAAAATGCCAAAGGACACCAGCAAGGAGCTGTGGAGCTCCACAGCCTCTTCAAAGAGCAGCTCAGAGTGCTTTGCAACCAACAGACTAGAAAAAAATTTGCTCACTATTTCCTGAACAAAAATCTCCACATACTATATAGTTACTACTCCAATAAAAAAAAGAGTTCAAATTCAACATTCAAGTAGCATTCAATAGTTACTCTGTTAAAGGGCTCAATTTTAACATTCAAGCAGCAAAAAGCTGTTGAAGACAATCGAGAAGTAACCTCAGAACAGCGTCCAGAGAAAAGAAAGCTGTAAGAACTTTAAAGCCTATGCTTTAGGTTAAGGTTTTTTCAAATTTCCTGGCTAACTTAGCACAGATCACTGCACCTTTTCATTGCTCAGTTTCTTCATCTGTAAAGTAGAGTAAATAAAGCTATTGAGAGCTCTGATAGCAGTGTTAGAATATATCCTTGCGACTGCCAGCTATGATACTGACTCTTGTTTGGAAGGAACAGATTAATCCTATGATAGCAATTGTCCAATACAGCCCTCCACACTGTACACAGACAACACTGTTAATAGTGGAAGATTATACTCAGCTCATCCTGTGGTTGCTACTGGCTATGTGCATCTCCCGGTTTCTCTCTCAGTGAACAGGATTTTCCCATTAATAACTAACAGAAAGAGAATAATTTTCTGTGATCTATATACACTTAATTTCCATTTCCAAGACCAAATGGTTTATACAGCTGTTTATACAGCTACTGATGTCACATGATTCCATGTGAGTGTGGAGGCTGATGTGTGACCTGTGCAGGACACATGGTCACCTGGGCTCTCACACCCCAAGTCACAGAGCATTGCAGAGGATGCTCTTTCCTGTATTATATTTTTCTACTCTTTGACCAAGCTTACCTTCTCCGACTGTTAACAGCAATGCACACTGCAAGAATCAATACAAGTGCCACAAGAGCAGCCACTATGATCAGCCATTCTATAGGGAGACATGAGGAAGGGGAGAAAAGCATGTTAACGTATCTCATGTAGTTTTGCAAGAATCTCATGTAGAACTGCAAGAACACAATCGCTTCTACTTTCATTAAACTGTCACTCTTTTCCTGCTTTGGATGGATGTTTGTTCGTTTTACAAAATGTTTCTGTGTAAATCAAATAAATTTTCATCACTCAGCTATACACAGGCCAACTCAGATTAAATATCCCATCATTGTTATCACCCATAAGTACTGCATTTTGGTGGGCATAGGTGAAGAGGAGCTGTACCACTGACTCACTCCAAGAGCAAAAGAAAAGGCTTAGCATGACACATCTACAAGAAGTAGGACAACTTCTAGTACATTTTTAGTAAAGGAGGTTTCAAGACCTTCCCAGTAGCCTCTTCTCTGCTACCATTATAGCCCTACTACCATTACAGATGGAGGTCCTCTACAAAGAGCTAACTCTTTGATTTTGTTTGTTTGAAAAAGGTCTCCCTTGTTTAACAAAACTTTTACACTTTATTTGAAACAAGTTACTACTTCTAATTAGTTAATTATTATTAGTCTGCGGTGAAAAACTGATAAGCATTCTTTTTGTAGCGTGGTCTTCTTATATCTCCCCTCAGTTTTCTCTGAAAATGATGGGTTCTTCAGAAGGTGCTTAAAGGTTACCTTTCCAAAATTTTCTGTATGCTCTTCTCCATTTTTCTGCCTATGTGAGTGAGCAATGCCTTGAACTGAACACAGAGCTTCAGCTCTGGACTTGCTAGGTCTAAGTAGAATGGGATAATTACTTTCTCTGTTTTAAAAATTACTTTATTGCTAATATGTCCCAGAATATATTTGCATTCTTTTGCAACTGTATCATGGTGTTGGCTTCTTTTTATTTTCTTTTATTCTGCAAACTCTATTCTGCAACACCTGGCTCAGCCATCATTTTTACTGAACGTTCTCATGGATACAATACTGTTAATAGATCTTTAATGAGATTTGCCTGATTTCTTATCAATTCATAAAAATATTTGAATCTTAATCCCATTCTCCAAATGCATGGTTTCTCTCATCTCAATATTGCTGGAAAATTATATGAGTTATAATACGTTCCATTTTTTAGACTACTAGTGAAGTGCTGAATATTATTTGGTTCATAACAAAGCCTGAACAATTGTACTTGACCTCATTTTCATCTCTTACTTTAGTTCATATGAATGCAATTCTGTACTTATATTTTTAAAACATGACTTCAAAAACCTACCTGGTACACGGGCCGACCTTGGCTGTGAATCTATTTTTGTTGTGGCAGTCTCTTCAGGGAAAGTAGTGGATTCATAATGTCCCTTGCGTGGTCCTTCATTACCATATATACTGGAGGTAGAGCCTAAAGACAAGAAAAAAAACTATCCATTAGGCCAAATATGCTTAGCAAGTATTTAACAGCAAGGTACAAAGACCATGAATTTCACAATTAAAAAAACATATTCTGGGAAGTTCATGTTGAAGCAACTTATAGTACTGAAGTATTTATACTGAAAACTATTACATATAAGTATCATACTCATCTGAACTATGGCTAGCTTTAGTATTTTGAAAAATAAAACTCATGGCTTTCCACTCTTGTCTCCCTTATATGTTTCTTTTTTTTGGGTGAATCAAAATGTGCTTATGATTGCCTAGAAATTTTCTGAATAAAATGTAAAGACATAGGTGTTGGCAACTTTTTAAAGAGGCTTTTGTCATACAGGTCAAACATCTTGTCTGTTCCATGGGGAAAACAGAATGAGAAAAGGAGAGAGAGAGAGAATTTTAGTTTTTTATTAAAACCTAAAAGGTTTAAATGGAGAAATTTTGAAACTATTAATTCTATTCCGACACGGGATAAAACTGAATGTTAAAACTCTAATACTCACATTAAATAGAATGACAGCTCTCTGAATGGTTGTAAATTATCAGCAGAATATAGATACAGTCATTTCATTTGGGACTACTACTTCCTTATCACTACAAAAAATGTATTACAGATTTCCACTTCTCTGAATTCTTCTAGAGTCTTACAGAGTAAATTAAGCACTGACTCTATTCAGCTGTAAAGTTCTTTTTCTTTAACACACATTGGAACTTATTTCTATCCAGCATTTCTGATCTCCTTTCCTAGTAACAGCTGGCAAATACAAAACCAAGAAGAATGTTTTTCCCCTCTTGCTTTGCCAGCAAGCAGCTCATGAATCTTCCAGATGTTTTCATTATTTTTATTAACAAGAAACTTATTGACTGGTGTGTTGTTTGGTGATATCTCACAACAAAGGACAGAGCAATAATTCAGCAGCCAAGGGTCCCAATCTAGTGGCAAAGAAAGCTGACCAAGAGGAACATACTAACTCGTCTACCCCACATCTCAGCAGACTCTTTAAGGTGCTTTATATCATCCTTAAAAATACCAGAGCTTTTCCTCCACAAAGCCCCTTAGAAAGGCAGCATTATTAAAATGTGTGTCCTTAGAGAATGTGCTACATTTGCTTTTCCCCTGAGCACTGAGAAGAAGAAGCAGGATTCAGTTGTGTCCTCTGCTGTTCTGGCTCTGGGAAGGTGCTCTGGGAAGGTGCTTGCAAGTGGCAGGGAGGGATCCTCAAAAGCTCTCTGCATTTCATTTTGGTAACATACTAGGGTTTTTTTCTTTATGGACACTTATTTTTGGGGTTCCTTTGGGGGACTGATTTGTTATTCTGCGGACACTTGGACACTTAGTGTGATGTCAGACCACAGCTTAAACACTGCTGTAGAAAAAAAGCAAGAGAAACAAAGTAGTATAATATATCAAACCATCCGTCTGTTCAGAGAAAGTCTTTAACTGTAGCCTGCCAATACATTCATGAATCTTTTCCATTCTGTTACACCAATATGAGGTAACATTACAAATGAATGAACCATTCAGTAAATAATTTTTTTTTATGAAAATGGTAGTGTCCTAGTAATTCCCTTGTGTTGTGTTTTTAAAAAGCACCAAGAGAAAGTAAATGAAAAAAGGCAGAGTTTTAGGAAAATGGCCTTTTGCCAGGGCACTGACAACGCAAAGATTCGATGCGGATATTCACATTGAAAATTATCTTCAAATCAGTTCTTACATGTTCTGTGTGCTCAAAACAAAAAGGTAGCAAAAATCTTTTCATAATGTGTAATGTCTGCACATAAAATTAAGGAGGTAGCTTGGATTAACTGAGTGAACAGGGCCAGTGAAAGTCAAGAAATGAGCTTGTTTTAGTAGGAAACCATTATCAAAAACAGATTTATCTTTCCAACAAAATTCTATCAAAAATATATTTTGCATTTATACTGCTATGCCTGTCAAAATACTATAACCAGGCAATTTTGACAGAGTTGAATTTACTGGATTTATACAAAATTTTTGGAAAAAAAAGTAGGCCAAGTTCCATCTCACAATGTATTAATTAATTATTAATAACAGAATTATCTTTAAAGCATTTGATGTATAATGCTCTAAAAACATCGGTACCTAACCTTCCTTATGTGCAAAGAATGTCCACAGAGCATTGGCCAAATTCTACCCTGGAATGGTTCCACTAACTTCCAAGAAAGTGCATGAAAACAGTGTTTGGATTAGCGGCTTTTGGAAAAGAAAAACTAAAAATCCCTTATGGTTAGGATGATTATTTGTATGGAAACTACATTTGGAAATAAGGAAAAGTCCCTTAAGTTTGCAAAGAATTAGCATGTGACCACACATAAAAAATTACCAAGGGATACATGTAGTATAATAAGCAAACACTGTTATTGTTAATTGCACTAACTTTATCAGAAGAATAACCCTTTAATAAAAAAAAAGTTGTTCTCAAATGAAATGTCAGTTACAGTCCAGTAACAGTAAAGAAAGGCAAAATGTTATCACAAATGTATTGGCATGAGGAGAAAGTTTAGACTTCTTCATGTCAATAACTGTGTTACCACATACTGATAACACAAGGTTATTTGCAAACAACTATTTACAACCTTTTAGCAAATACCCTTCATGACATCTTATCAGCAGGTTATAAACAATAGCAAACCCGCAAAAGGAAATCATACTATGACAACAGTTTACAATTACAGTTAGTACACATGGGCTTGGACAATAGTCATTGTCCACAATAATAACTTACTGACGGATAAATTACAATGTTCATAATTCATTGTTCTTACTAGTAGTAAGAGGGGTCTGCAAGCGATTAAGATGGTCTTCAGCGTCTGGAAGAATTGCAGGTATCCAACCGACATGGGAACCATCTGTGATGTTTGCTTGTTCACTTTCCCTTCCAGGTGGAGTGCCAGGTGCCAGTGGCTCCTTGGTTGCTTTCTCTTCATTAACATCCTCCACAGATTCTGTGACTGGCATGATGGTGCCATGATCAGCTTTAAAACGGAGCACTCACACAAAACCACCACCCATATTGTTTTCAAATTGTATTTCCATATTGCACCACAGCAAGCCAGAAAGCACGTCCACTTTCCTCATTCAAAGCACAGAAAGAGGGGAGAAGACATGAAGGTCTCTCCTTCTTCTTCCACCCTGTCACTGGCTTCTGAGAGACCATGAAGCATCACATCTCTGCTCACCATGTTGGAGCAAGACATTGGCTACATGTACAGATCCCAGTGACAGATGGAGAGGGGAGACCTTGAGGAGAAGAGACCACAGCAGCAACAACCTGACCATGTAACTCAGAAGTGAGAGGCCATACTGCAGCCAGACCTGTGTCAGTCTTTCCTGGCAATCCAAGGTGAGGAGAAGTAAGAAATTGATGGCAGAATATATGGGATGTAATTCTTCTATGATTGCACTGCACTCACCACTGGAACACCTCTCCCCTATGATGGCGCTGCTGCTGAGTCACAGGAGCAAGTCATCTGATTAACCTACCAGAGCACCTCCACCACACCAATCATGGTGCCAAAGCATATCAAGCCTGATCCCACTGATGCACAAGAAAGGAAGATGAGGCTGGGGATTCAGAATCACCAAAGTGCATATCTGGCAGAATAGTTAGCAGGTCACCCAAAAACATGCTTCAGCAAAGGACAGAAACCACCAAGTGTACCAGTAGAGAGTCCCTTATGCCTTGTCTACAGATCCTATCACAGATTTTTGCATTGCAAGTCCACACTAAGAATGTAGATCCCCAGGATGAGAAAGATAGGATGAGAAAGGAGTCAACTTCAGAAGAAATAATGTCTCATTTCACACAAGCATGAGAAATGAGTATGATCCATTATTCTTACTGGTACCTATCAGATGAGAGTCATTACCAGCTTTGATTATACTGGCTGTAGTCTTGTGGAGGACTTCATCCCTTGGGGTATCTGTGGGATTCCTGATGCCTTCAGTGCCCTGTCCTGGTTCATTATCTGAAGGCAGAGGTGGTTGAGTTGGGTCTTTGTGGTGGGCACCATCAGGAGAGGCAGCAGCTGTTACCATGATGTGAGTTGCCCACGCTTCCTGGGTTATATCTTCTGGTACCAGAACATCAGTGGAGGCTGTGACTGTTGTGATGATGGCTAAGTTAACTTCGAAGACATTTTAAAAACCCTACCTTACAAATTTCTCTCTCTTTATTTAATTCAGCAATCTCTAGTCTTTTATTTATTAGCCTATGTAGAATATGTAGTGAGAAGAAAAAAAAACAAAACCCACAAGCAAAGAATATCTTCTGTATATGTCACGCTTTTTGGGTTGTCTGTTCCTTCACTAACACCCTAATAATAAAGTTTAATACCAATTTAAAATTACACTACTGAAAGTTATCATCACTAAGCAAAATCAGAAACCGAAATATGCATTTACAAACAATGCAGCCTGAAGTGTCAGTTTTGAAAATACCTCACAAACGCTACTTAGAAGGGCAAAAATAGTAATGTTATTTTCATAATAAAATGAGTATAAGAATTCCTGTTGTTACACAGGAATTACATTAGAATGGCTAAATTTAAAACATTGGAATAAATTGCTAAATCATACTTGCTTTTTCATATTTGCAACTGATCTCTCAAATCACATAAGCTTAATAAACAATGAGCTGTGAAGCTTTACCAAATCTCCTTCATATTTAGAAAACAGGAGTAGGGGGTAGAGAATACAACTATACTTTAATCCACAAACTGTATTTTAATTCACACAATCTTTAGCTTTCATAGGTCTTTGGCAAATCCTAAATGTTGTGGATTAAATAATTCTGATGAAAATGGATTTTGAAGAAGAAAATGGAAAGCATAAATGCTAATTTTTCCATAGAATTTCTTTTTTAGAAAATGTAAGAGACATGCAAAAACTTCTAAAGCACTATGATGTCATAAAAATAAGTAACATTATATTATATTTTATGAAAAAGCAGTATTTTGAACTCGGGTAATTTTAATTGAGTAACATGCAGATCTTCGGACATTAAGTAGAAGCTTGAGGAACTACATGAACAAACTCCAGTAAATTATTTCAAATTTTACAGTATTAAGAGAATATGTGGAAATATCAAGACCAGGAAAAGTCAGACATGAAAAGACATATTTAAGTTTATGATTTATTTACACTACTGGCCACTTCCACAAAGCAACTGCTTTCTCAGTATTACCATCTACTAAAAATAAACCTGAGAAAAGTCAGGGGAAATAAGACGGAGGGCATTCAGGGAAAAAAATATCCTTAAATAGGGAGCAATTCTTGTTGGGATATTCACATGCAACAAAATGATAAAAATATTTGCACTGCAAGTTCACAACAAGAATGCAGATCTCCAAGATGAGAAAGATAGGGAAAGGATACAAGTTTCAGAAGAAATAATGTCTCATTTCACACAAGCATGAGAAATGAGTATGATCCATTATTCTTACTGGTACCTATCAGATGAGAGTCATTACCAGCTTTGATTATACTGGCTGTAGTCTTGTGGAGGACTTCATCCCTTGGGGTATCTGTGGGAATCCTGATGCCTTCAGTGCCCTGTCCTGGTTCATTATCTGAAGGTAGAGGTGGTTGAGTTGGGTCTTTGTGGTGGGCACCATCAGGAGAGGCAACAGCTGTTATGATGGTTTAATAACAGATGACTTAAATATAGATTATTTAATCAGCTGTGAATTCCATCTGTATGCTGCTGTGGCCTTCCCATTCCCATCTCATTCAAGTCTCCTTAAACCACTGTTACCCTTTTCTCAACACAAAAAGATAAGAGAAAGGAGACCTGTCCCGCACAGGTCTACCACTGCTCTGTCAAGGTTTTGATGAGACATTTTCATTTGCTCATCCACTTTTTTACTTAATAAAAATATTCCCAAGGACAGTGGACACAGGGACATAGAGACAGCAGTCATGAGGATTCCCTGACCTGTGTCCCAGGCTGACTACACAGCCGCAACTTCCGGGACACTGCCGTGTGCTGTTACAGCATGTTTTACATTGCAGGTATCAACACTGACAGTAAAGAACCCTTTCTACAGTCACTGTAGAAAGTTACTCAAGACACTGTGAGTGGTGACAAGTTATAATTCATTGTTCTTACTAGTAGTAAGAGGGGTCTGCAAGCGATTAAGATGGTCTTCAGCGTCTGGAAGAATTGCAGGTATCCAACCGACATGGGAACCATCTGTGATGTTTGCTTGTTCACTTTCCCTTCCAGGTGGAGTGCCAGGTGCCAGTGGCTCCTTGGTTGCTTTCTCTTCATTAACATCCTCCACAGATTCTGTGACTGGCATGATGGTGCCATGATCAGCTTTAAAACGGAGCACTCACACAAAACCACCACCCATATTATTTCCACATTGTATTTCCATATTGCACCACAGCAAGCCAGAAAGCACGTCCACCTTCCTCATTCAAAGCACAGAAAGAGGGGAGAAGACATGAAGGTCTCTCCTTCTTCTTCCACCCTGTCACTGGCTTCTGAGAGACCATGAAGCATCACATCTCTGCTCACCACGTTGGAGCAAGACATTGGCTACATGTACAGATCCCAGTGACAGTCTTCAGAAGAAGAGACCGTATCATGTTTTTAGCACATTATTTTAATGTTATGAATAGTATGTTATATGAGATTGCATCATGATTTCGTGTCATGCCAGTTTTGTTAATTTTTTTCTCCCATCATTCTGTGAATCAGAGGGACAAATATTTTGATAAAATTTGTGAAAAGAACACTGTTTCCCCAGATGAATATTCACAAATAAATGCATTAACCTGTTGATATACAAATATACATAAGTATGAATTCAACTTTAAGATAAAGATAGTTTGGCAGCACAAAGTAATATAACTTATGATATGATCTGGATGCAATTTCACAGCCATGCTTCACCAAGGAATAGAAAGTACTGAAAGTGGTGTTGGCAAGGAAAGAACAAATGTTTTATACAGAGCTAAAATAGAAAACTTTTGTCTCACCACCATCCAGATGGAGCACAGAGAAAACAAGTCATTCTACAACTTACGTTATTATTTTAAGAGATTAGTAATTACCCATGTCTACAAGTTTATGCAGCATCTTTCCAGGACAGGCCATCTGAGAGACAGAAGTGATGCAGTACACGTAACTGACATTATTAGTAGTACCTGTAGTGGAAGAGTCTTTCTCATGATTATTCCCTCTGGAAGGAATAGTTCTATCCGTTATAGCAGGCCATGTTGCATATTCCTCTCCGTTGTCCCAGCCTGGATATATCCATGGGTCTTGCATGGAGTCATTCTGTTTGGCCCCATGGGTGGAGACCATAGCTGTTATGATGATGATGAAGCAATTATGAACTCAGTATATAAAGATCCATCTCTCATATTATTCTCCTCTTCGGTTCTTGTCTCTATGACAGGCCTTGCTCACATGGCTACTACATTTAATGGCAAAGAGGAGTAAAGTAGACTTGCTTCTCATCCTGGTTTATGTTTAGAAAAGCTGCCTACTCTCATCAGTAGGACCAACTCCTTCCTCAAACCAAACATATGCTTTTCAGAATCAAGGTATCTTATTGTTTTTAAAAAGTATTTCCCTGAATCTTGCTGTTGACGTTGTTTTGGTTGAATATCAAACCAATGTCCACTGATTCAGAACTAAGAACCTCAAAGGCAGAAACAAATGCAAGGATATGACCCATCAGTAAGATTTTAATCACAGAATTTGAGTGCATTGACTGGATCCAATTTTTTCCTCCTCGAAATTTCACTGTTTTATTAGTTGCAGCATCTCCAGGAAAACAGACGAGGAAGTATGACAGAGGGGAATGCTAGCACATGCTACACACTGTAGATAAGACAGCATTCAACTGGAGAATATTTGATATCGCAGTTATTTAGAAAAAACTTATCCAAATCAATCAATCTGTAGTTTTTATTAGATAGTCATAGCAAAAGAGTACCTGAATCTTATAGGAAGCATAACCCTCCTTAGCTCCTTCAATACAATAAGAAATTTGCCACACTGTGTTACAATTTCAATTGCAACTAGGCTATTACATATTGCTATAGTAGTGTAGTATAATGTAGCGTAGTGTAGTATAGTGCAGTGTAGTCTGGTAAAGTATGGCACAGTACAGTGTTTACACATTTATCTCTATCTCATTTTGCATTGTACTGCATCACCAGATTTTTTAAGGACGGTGATGACATATCTGGGTTTGATATCTTACAGGAATGTGGACTTAGGCACTACTGAAACAGTGAGCTACACAAAACTTTTGCTAATAAGATTAAATTTAGTTGAATGAATAGAAACGGCATCTAAATCATGTTTGTGATATACTTCTCTTCAGAGATCTGTATTTAATAATTTGCAAGAGTAGATGACTGTTGGCAGCACATCTGTCATTAACTAGTAAGCTTGGTACACTCACAGGAACAGAAACTAATATATGCCAATTTTCAGTTACTAGCTTTAAGGTATAATTTGGTCTTTTATGTTTCAATTGATGCAACGAATGGAAGAGAGAAGCCTCTTTCTTATTCTGCGTTGTGCTTTGTTTTCTTCCCTTCATCACCAGTATCACACTGTCATAGTTCAAAAGTAAGGTGAGTAGACATTTTAGATAATTTTTTTTAGATATAATTGCCATATTAACAAAAACTGAAAAAAGAAATCCTGGGTCTGATAATGACTTGCAACAGGGAACTGAACACAGGTCCCAGTGAATGAAATATACAACAGACATTATTAAACCTTCTCTGTTTCCTACAGATAAAACCCTGGTAGACAGCTTGTTAAAAGCTTGTGACTGCATCAGACACAACACAAAATGTAGGAGGCAGTTACGGAAGGTTACAATACTAAAGGTCTTGACCTGTAAGTCAAATAGAAGAGAAAAAAACACCCAGGGACAGGTCTGAAGAATAATTAAAAATTAAAACGATTTTTTAATAATTAAAAATAATATAACATCAGAATTGCTCAGGGGTATTCACAGAATTTGTCCTATGGCCTCAGAATGCAAAAATATTAGTAAAAAAAATCCTAAAAGTAAACCTTTAGAAAGACTTGATAATTTACTAAAATGTGACCTGTAATATTACCTGTATGAGAAGATTCCTTTTCAAAATAATTTTCACCTGCAACAGTAAATTCATGTTGTTCAATACTCGCCGTGGTATTTGCAGGATTTTGTTCTTGACTGATCCCTCCAGAATGAATGGTGTATGGCAGTGGAAGTTGGGTTGGTCCTTGATTTTCATTTTCACTTGTAACTAGTGCTGATAAGATGATGATTGAATCAATAATGATCAAAATACCCATCATCAGTCATATTCTCATATCATGGTTTAATAACAAAGACGTCTGGCTTTTGTGTTTTGGCTTTTTCTTGTTGCATTTGATGTGAAATGAAAGATGAAAGAAAAAGTAGTCCTTTGGAAACCTTATGACACAAAACCATCACCAGGATCAGAAGATTTAAGTGGGCTAGAAAGGATCCCAATGACCAATGGAAAAGATATTGGAGAAGCAGCAGAAGAGCACATAGAAACAACAGCTTACACCTCTATTTCATATTCATTAATACTAACTTAACTGTTGAGTCTGTGTATTCTGCGTTTTTACAGTGAAAAAGTGGATGAACTTTCTCTTTTGAGTTAATATCTCAATTACACAATTACAAAGCCGGCCCCAAGGAAATTGTAATTTCTTCTGAGACTGGAAAGATGAAATAAGAAGGTTCATATATTCGAAGCTGAGAAGCATACTTATTTTGAACTCAATAATAATTAAAGCTCTTACTCTTTAATTTGCTCTTGCTTACACAGCACAAGATGCAGTCAGAAAGAAGCTGAAGTACCACCACCATAAGAGGTTTTCTATTGAGTATCGACAGGTTTGGAAAAGATACATCAGAAAAACCTAAGATGAGCACTAGAACTCAGGTAGAAATATATTTGCCTTAGGTATCAAAAATTACCATGAGTGATATATTAAAAGTAAAGCAAAGGTCATTAATCAGAGCACGCAAAGAATGAGCTGGACTTGTTATATATGCTAAGAAACCAGCTAGAGAAACCTATGCTACTTCCCAAAATGGGAAAAACTGGAGAAATATTTATTTTCACATTCAGGCAATTAAATATTCATATAGAGAGCACTCATGAAAATGTAATCCATTCTTTTTAAATTAAACCTAATACATCTGTATCATCTTATAAAAAAAGAGTTAATATTAACTAATGTATGAGTACAACTGATCTAAAAATACGCCACAAATAAAAGAAAGTTACCACAAAAATTTTTTCTGGGTGATTACAGATCTTGTTCTAATGACAATTGTATAAACCTTCGCTGTTCAAAACAAGCTCAGGACCAGAAAGGCACAGCAAAAATAGCTTGAGAATGAGCTCTGTAAGCCTTTGCCTACAGAAGCTTCTAGCCTTGAATGCTTTGGTATCTCAGTAGGCTACTGGCACTAGCACTGGTAGCAAAATGTTCACATTCTTCTGGAGGACGATTTTTGTAGGAAAATTTCATGATTTTGAAACACTAACTCCCTGTTTTGTCTTTTGTCTTCAGATTTTCAAATTGAAAATTTTGAAATGGAAAAAGGGATTTTCTTTTTCCTCACCGGGGTTGGTCACCAAAAGTTACAGTCTACTTAGTTCTATTTTGCTACTGGTAGTGCAAATATAAAAATACCAGAAATGTGAGGAAAAGTGGCAATTAACTAACTTTAGATGCAAAAGATAGACTTGGAACAACAGATAGATGCCACCTATGAGGGCTCTAGTACAAATAATGTAAAGGCATTACACTGAACTGAGGCTAATGGTATGGGAATTACGAACAGTTGCACCATGAGTGTTACATTTACGTCACAAATCTGAATATTATCTGAAATACTTGATTCCTTTACCCCTGCTAGGAGAGCTAGGATACTGCTCCTCTTCATCTGTGAAGGTGGGATTCCAATGATCTTGTGTGGAGATTTCCAGAAGTGTTTCGTGTTGTGAGTCCACAGCTGTTGGGACAATGGAGGATTGAACGCTGACTATGCTCTAAGTCTACCACTGTTCATGTGTGCCATAAAGGTGATGGAAAATGGAAATTCATGTATATCCTAACTACAGCCTCTCTACTCTTTTTATCAAATCCCTTTACATCAAACCAGTTCTTCTTTTCTTTGCATTGGATAGACGCAAATTTTCCCAAGAAGAATGGGGAAAACAAGCAATAGAAGAATAATGTATAGCAGAAGTAATGCAAAACCATTACAGCAGTTATAGACATTTAAACTCATGTTTGAAGAATAATGCTGGACCTAAGGAACATGGTAGATATCTCAATACATGTAAAACATGCTTGCTAAGTACCCAAGAAGTACTCAAAAAGTAGCATGCTAGAATATCCAGCGCTGAGCTCAAAAGCGATGAACGGTAAAAAACTGATAGCGCCTTGAGAACCAGCAGGTCACCAATATTAGTGAAGAAAGTTATAATACAATTAAAAAGATAAAATAAAACTTCCACAAGAGTCTATGATCAGAGATTGTATACACTTTCACCCATGCAGCATGCAGACACTGCTAGGCCATAGAAAGTATTTGGAATGCAATACACCAGTGGAATAAGTCACCAGTGCAGAGTCTCAAAGATAAATAAATTAACAGCAGAAATACCCAAAACACAGGCAAAAGAATAAAATGCCCCAAAGCAAGATGATTTGATGATTTTGTAATTTCTTCTAAAAGCAAAGACCACTGCTGAAAAAATGCAAATACTGAACTATCTCCAGAAAAATCGAATGCTTTTAAACAGTGATTTATAAACACCATTGAGTAAATAGGAGCACAAAAAACAGATACATTAAGATGTACTTCAATTAAATAAAATTACAGAAATAGAACAGAATTATCTTTGTACAAATAAGAGCATTAGAGTATAGTCATCAATGTCAACTTCTATGCTAAAACCCCCCCCTGGTCTTTAAGTCAAGTACCAGAGTGTGTGCTTCAGTGACACGCAGCATTTGGCTCTGATCTTCACATGTGGTGGTTTTCTGGTTTTCAGAAAAAAATTATTTCAGGTATGGATGGCTTTTGAATTTAAAAAGAGTTATCAGATGATGACTGTGGGACTATTCCTATCAGGAAAATAAAGCTATGTATTAAAATACCTTAATTATCATGTTGGATCATGCCTAGACATCTGAGGTCACAAAATAAATGAGCTGATGTTAGAGGACTGCATGGGAAGAGTGTAGAAGGGAGCAAATATGAGACTGTTTTGTTGACAATTCCCAATGAAAAAGGCACTTAGGCTTTGGCCTCCTCAAATTATGCCTGAACATCTCCTTCCACAGACAGGAAGTCTGGTATTAAATAGTTGTAGATTATATATAGCATGAACTAGAATTATTTTAACACTTAAAAAAAATTCATAGAAAGAAAGATAAGCTTTTTTTCATCTTGGAAAATCATGAGTGAATGAAAACATTTCAATAGGCATGAAAATGAGGTGGTAATTTTAAGTAGTGATAGAAGAGATATTACTTTTATCAATATGGAGCTCAGATAATTTTTCCAATCACAAAAGAGATATTTCTGAAGGAACAGATGATGAGGAGATCATCCAATTTTCACATAATATGTGTGTGGCAAAGGAGGAGGAACATCAAGTGTGAAAGGAAAAAGAAGAAGGAAAGCATCCAAAGAGAAAGCAAGTTCCTTACTCGTACTTGGAGAACTCTTGTCCTTGGCCACACTCCTGCCCCAGCTGGGAAACAGTGTTGGGTACATCATTTCCTCTGAAGAGTCTTCATCATCTGAACCATTGCCACTGGAGGTCACATCTGCTGTGATGATGTTAAATCTGCCATGAAGCCCTAAATCACAAGGCCTTCTGCTGGCAGCAGTTAGGCTTTCTTGCCTCCCTACATGCAGCCTTACAATTACAGAAGAGAATACACAGAACTGTGCTTCTCATGGTCCATATCTCCTCCTGGCCTTTTCACTCAGGGGATGCACCACTTTGCCACAGCGCTGCTGAAGCTCCCCAGTTTGGTACCCTTTGCACACTCACAGCATTAACCATACTCTGTCCTCTTCAGCCCCTAATCAAAATGCCCTCTTAGCATGACATTCTTTGCCCTTGGTTGCCTGTGTGGCTTCTTGCGTCTTCTCTCCAGGATTTGACCACCACCAGTGGTCTGGAAACAGATTCCACCAAGCTTGGGTGGTGGCTTTCTCTAGGTCGTCATGATGAGGCCCTGGAGCTGTTAGGACATGGTCCATTTAACCAAGATCTTGTTATTATTTCTTGAGAAGCACTTTTCCTCCAGGAAAGTCAAGTCCACTAGCACCAGCACCCTGAGCACCCTCATGCCACAGAGACGGATGTGAGTGCAAGGCGAATGTATGAATCCATGGTATCATTACATTCCTCAAACACATCGCTCGATGCAAGCGCTTCTGGCAGTCCCAGGAAAGAACACAGTGCCTTAAGAGGAGACATCAAAAAGCCCTGTGGGTTTTCTCTAGCCCTTCACATGCCATAAAGTTAATGAGCTCCTCATAGGCTTTGACAGCAGGAGAGAGTAGATAGCCTTAGGCTCCAGAACAAGGAACATCCACCAAGATGACATAAAATCACATACAAAAGGTGAAAGAAGTATCCATGTCAGGCAAAAAGGTGACCCACAGATAAACACATCCAGAGAAGCAAACTGCTCTGCTACTGAGAACCCCAAGAAGCCAGAGAGACCTGGGCTCAGAACTGCCGCTATTGAGTCCACTCAAAGGACACATGCACTCCCCTTAGCCTGATGCTGTCAGCTAAATCCACACCAGAAATGCTTTTCAGAGTAGGTGTCAGCACAGCGTGAAGAGAGAGAGATGCAGCTTTATTCCTATCACATGACCAATGCACAATATTTTCTCAGATCAGAGCATATCAAATAGTCAATTCCAGAGGTTTGTGACAGGCATTTACAGATGGAAAGAGATTTCTGCTTAGAAAAATCAGAGGAATCTACAGTGTTTTCATCCACTGTGCTAGGCAAGCCAAATGGGTATTGGCGTGCAAATAGAAATAAAAGTGTCTATTGCATATGGATGAACAAAATCAATCACAGTTACTGTTTGAGTAGGTTGCTCTGATAACTTAGAAGGGTATTTCATTGATCAGTAACAGAATTTTACATCTGATTCCTGGCACACCTTCAGATGAATCATAATTTGTTAGTAACAAAGAAACTTTTTTCATCCAGGAGAGGAAGTTGATGGCAAAGTGCTGAGAGTGTATTAATCTGGACCATTAACTTGATGGAGAACATCACCAACAATGTCTAAATCCAGAGAAATACCAAAAGGGTATTCTCTGAAGAACAAAGAACTGTGAATATTGTTCATTTCAAACCCATAGCAAAGAAGTCTTTAGATTAAGCCAGATACCTTTTCACAAAACTTTAACTTTACAAATGGTGTGTAATATAGATTGAGAGACACCAGTTTTGTTTCTCATTTTAACACACTATAGAATTAGATAGATATATTTTTAGCCATCTGTCAGAAGATATATGACAAATAGTATTCTTTACTTATTTCTTAATTTTCTACTTTCCTATCTGTGGGATTTTTCCCTGAGAAATTAAACTGGATACTCCAATGAGCCTGCACTGCTGTGGAATCTAAATAGCAGATATTGGGGTGCAGCTTCATCTTCTTTTTTTGATTGTTCTCCATGTAACTTCCTCCTACACTACTGAATTTTTGATTACTTCTCACAGAGATGCACAGCTTATACTTCTTTCTGAAAGGACTGCTAAGTTATTGATTCATTTGTAACGCAGTAAAATTAAAATAACTGAGTCTCTTTGGCTTTAAAGTGGTGTTGCTGATGTTGCTAAATCTATCAGAAAAGCCCAGGTGCATTACTTTCATAATTTTTTTTTCCCAGAGAACCAATCTATCAATCCTAAACCAGTAAACAATCATGCCAATGCTATCACTTCTGTCATAGACATATATCAGTATTGACATATTTTATTATACGGCTTTATAGTTATTTTGATCTTTTAAAATCTGAAATACCTCTAGTTTTCCCTCTGTAAAATAGTCCTGCCCATGAGAGAGAACTGTTAGCAACAGGAAGGGACATATATATCTAGAATCAATACATTTGATAATCAAGTAGTAAAATGAAAACAGACAGCTTTCCTGCCTGGAAAAAATGCACAGTTTTTGCAGTGCGTACAGAAACAGCTGTACAAGGAAACACTAAGTCACACATGCATACAAAAACAAATACATATGAAGGTGGAATTTCCTCCACGCTTCTCCCCCTTACGGGCAATATTTTGTAATAAAAGCTCTTGTTTGAAACAAGCGCCAGAAAATTTTCTACTTTCTTTCAAGGTCTGGGGTAAAATCAACCTAATATTTCTTTTCCTATCTACATATTTATAAGCTATTACTAACCTTCACATCCTCTGAGACAAGATGCTTGGTTTTAGTGATTTATGTCTTCTAGCAAGGCTTTTGCTAACTGTGTAAAACAAACGATCATTCTTACTCTAAATACAGTGACAAGGGTACCACCCTTCCAAATCACATAGACCATACCTATCAGCAACCAACAATCAAGCAAGTTCCTCACTTTCATGAATTTCCTTGGTGGGGGGAAAAAAAAGAGCCAGTAGGAAGAAACTTTCATGTCTATCAGTTCAATCTTTACTACAATATGCCTCTGTAGATTTCCTGTGTGTAATTAAAATGTTCTCCCTTTAGGTTCACTTTATTTTCTGGGGCAAAGATCTTTATCACTCTAAACTTAAGAACTAATGTGAACATATGTACATTACTTCCATTTTAACATGTGTAAGATGACTTCAAAAGCTTTTTATTTGTTGTAGCTGCTGTGCATTACATATTTGATAAAAACATCACAAGCAGTTTTTCTGATTCAATAAAGCTATTTAAGGACAAAGCTGAGAAAAATGGCTAGTGTTTTTTGATTCCTCAAAGCCTGTGGAGCCCAAATTTTCTCTCATGCATACTGCCAACAAGGGTGAAATTAATTTTTACAGTGCACAAATGGCTTGGCAATTGGAACCATATAAAGGATTGCTTTGGTTAGCGAGGCCATGTTTTTGACACAGATTACACTCATTCACAACCATAAATATATAAGAATAACAGAGACTTTTATCCCAAATTGACAAAAATTTCCTTTTCTACCTCAGACATAAGTTGACTTCAAGTAATAATTGGTTGTACTAATTTGTGGTGCCTCAGAGAGCAAACAGGTGTGATAAAACAGCAGTGGAAAATATAAACCAACAATCTCTCTGAGCTCATGTATAAGCATTGAATTAAATACACTGTAAATGATTTTGTTCCCACTGTCCCAGAGACTGAAATTCATTTCTGACTTAACCAGTTTGGAAAGTAGTGTCTTTCAATGTCTTTCCAATATTTGAAATGTTGTATACCTCACCACTTACCAGAATACCCTTCTGAAAGAACAAAGCAGTTTTAATGCAATCTATAATGTAGTTGTTATGAAATGTAAATCTTACTAGTAGTAGCATGATAATGTCCACCATCTTCTTCATGGAAATCATCAGTCACTGTCCCGAAAGAGATGTCAGGTGATAGAGATGGAACTTCATCATCTGTATGGTGATGGATAAATCATTACTATTTCATTAGCTGAGTTAGCTGAGTTGCAATACAGTATTTAGGAGTACTTCAGTTACTCTATACTGCAAGCTTCATTCCTTCATTTATTGGTCCAAGAGAGGAGAAAGATACAGACTAGATTCCTCTCATAATTCAACCCCGCATAACCTTACTTTACTAACATAGTAAGGATATCACCTTACAGATTATTTCAAGAGGAGTATGTATTGCAGTGATAATGAATATTCTGGCAGTGATCTGTTCACATGATACAAGATTTAAATGCTACCTGTATACCATGTGGACAGGGATTCTAGAGCAGTGAATGAAGCTATTTGTATTCCCCTCTACTGAGATATATTCTGAGATTTAGTCCAAAAATTTATACTCTGCATGCAAGCAGAGTTGATAATAGCTGTAATGGCAATCAGTTAAAATACACAGCATACACCTCGGGGAGTGGTTCTGATCCCAGTTCCTTAGGAAAAAAAATGTTAGGATTTACCATTCATGATGCTAACTGTATGGAAAAACAAGCATAATATATCATGAGTATACCACAAGTGAAGAGTAATTTTATAATCCTAATGCTTCTGCTCTTTTTTTTATTTTTAATTTCAGTATATACTGAGGATAGTGACGCAAAACATTGTTATCCTTCACTGGTAAGTTACGGGTGATTTGATAAATAGCCTGTAGTCACACAGTAAACTTCACTGTCCTTAGAGGATGACTTATATTTGTATCCCTTAGGTTCAACTGGAGCTAGTCTTTCAGACTTCAGATAATTTCATCCACACAAGAAACATAAAAGATGAAATAAAATATATAGAAAAGAAGATGGTGTTTCTATTTGGTAGGGCTTCATGAAATTTGAATTTGGCTTCACTACCTAAAAGAAGTTATTAATAACATTTTAATTTGACATATCTATCTCCCTAAGCATTCTCTAATATGCAGTAGTAAGATGATGTCCTAAAAAACCTCCTGTATTTATACAAAGAGAAATCTCTTCTATTGTAAACTCCTCCTCATTCTTATTACTTAATGTAATTTCATTTAGAAAACAGATAAAAATGTTATCCTTATCTCTACATATGCTTCATACTCACATGCAATCAAAAAAATGCTTAGAAATTTAGAATGCCTCAGTTTTCTCTTCTTTCAAAGACACACTTTCTCTCTTTTTTTTTTCTCCTGAATACAAATTAGAGATGGTACTTTTCAATCCCTCATTATATCCTTTAACTATCAATGTAATCTTTCACTCACTTATATTAAAGGGCAACCTACTATCCTTACCATAGTCTTTTCCAGGAGTTCCTTTTTCACCCCCTCCAGAAGTGTGATCTGGCAGCTGTGAGACTGGAGTAGCACTTCCATAATATGAGGGGCTGGATCTCCTGATGGAGGTATCCATGGGAGTTGTCTCATGAGTTGATCCACTACCTACATTTTCATCGTCTGCACCTGAAGTTGAGGACTCTCCACCGGTATGACGTGTGCCATCTGCATTATAACGTGAGCCATCTGCATTGTCAATGACTGTGGAAAGAGGGAATTAAGCAGCTAATATCAAGGAGCTACATAGCTATATTTCAGTAATGCTAAACAGTTTTAGTTCTACAACAACAAAAAAAAAAAAAATAAAGAGAAACACTTGTGAATTAATACCGGTTCATCCATTTTTGCCATCCTATCTAACCTGTCTAGATAATACTTCACTAAAACATGTCTAATGTATATATGCTAGTTTACATATTTTTCAAATATGTAGGGCCTACCCTGCATCACTTATTTCCACCAAACATTTTGGTTTTAACATAAAATCTCGGCATTTGTAAAGTCAATCAGAATTTCAGAATTGCAACAAATAATTTATTATGAGCATTTTCTTCCACTTCCAGCTGCTTTTCTAACAAACAGCTCAAATGAGATGTAGAAAGGTTGTTGTCTTAAGCCAAGTCTTTTGTGTCAAAGAGATATTATCCACTCTGAGATGCTAAAAATGTCAAATACCTATATAAAAAAGTGTTTGGTAGCACCCTGAAATAAACAAAGCTCCATAAGATTTAGGGGAAAAAAAGTGACCAATTGTTTTAATTTCTGTTGAATGTCTCTTAACTTCTTTTTCTTATGTTTGGCTTGATTTTTTTAATATCAGTAATTGTTTATATAAAAAAAACATAACCAGATACTAAAAACTGAGCAAGTGCATGTCTTTCTAATCAGTACAGTACCTATTTCATCTTGATTACTGAGGAGAGAAGTATCTAGTTTTTCAACTGGTTCACACCCTTTGTCCCTTGTTTCTGTGAAAGAAGGAAAATAGAAAGTATTAATTTGAGAAAATGAATATAAAAGTCACATGTATACCCATATTAATGGCACGTAATCACAAAATGTCAGCTTCAGATGAGGACAGTTGGAAACGAATTTCCAAAAAATTTTATTCACTGATGTACCTACTTTCCCTTTTTTCTCCTTCTGAGGTGGAACACTTCAATATTGTTAGTTCTGTCAGCTAACAATTAGATTCTCCATTTCCATAGCCATTCCAGAAAACAGTTGCAGTCAATGTCAGTTAAAACAGCCTTATGACCCAGTTTCAATGCAGGCAGCCCCATTGTCATGATGGAAGTGGCAACCCTAACCCTCTCTAACTGGAGAGAATGGTCCTCTCCATGGAGGGCTCTGCACAGGCAAAGCTTGCCCTGGTCTGGTGAGCACTGCTTCCTGCAGTGGGCTGAAGTGCCACATTTGGGGCCAGTGTGTAAGCTACCCAATCATACTGGTGGAAGGGAATAATACCTGGGAGGAGTTATAAAGCTCTGAGGGCAATGGACATCACTGTAGCAGCAGAATAGTCATTTGTGAGTATCAGAGGACGGCAGATCACATACTATGCCAATACTAAGAATGACATCAGAAAATGTCACTGCCACCTAAATCATGAATGATTTTTTCCTGCAGCTTTCTGTAACAACTGTCTGTGAATGTCACAATCTACTGAAACTAAAGCCACTTGAAGTTAGTCCAGATTTTATCTTAAAATATTGTGTTCAGCATCTGTCATGGACTACCCACATTTTCCTAATAATTTAATAAAATATTTCTATCTACTAAAAAGTTCAAAACCTTAGACGAAAGTGGTCTGCTTCTGACCCACGTTGCTGTCTAGCTGCCTAATGTCTGAATGGAGATTTGCCTAAGCAAATACTGAATGAACCTACAAACAGGAGAGCAGCAGCCATGTCCACGGGATGGCCCTCGCTGCTGCAGGTGGCAGCCACTCCTAGTATTCCTGAACACAAGTAACTGCTTCTGGCTATAGAAGCTCATGTGCGCGTGAACAGAAGAGCTGAATGCCAGCACTCACAACACTTGTGTCTTTCAGATCTACTGCTGCGGTTGTTCACTTCACTAAGCCATTATAATGAACTGTTCTGAAGCCACTGAGTTACTCCCAAAGGCAGAAAAAAAGTTTAGGTCAAAACACACTAATAACAAAATGGATCAAATTCATTGCTGGCATGATAGTTACACTTCTAGAGTTTGAAAAAATGTATTTCTCCTCAGCTGAAAAAGAGATTATGTTTATTATAGAAGCCTTCATCCCAGTACCTTAAATAGGAGATTACATACATTATTTTTAGTTAATCTATTTCTAAAATACATCATAAAATCACATACATACCTGTCTCATTGTAACAATATGCATCATACCGACCAGTTGTATTTGCTGGAAGCTTGTAAATGCCAGTATGGTTTGCTGCACAAAGATGATACGGTCTGATTCGTGGGATAACAATATGCCCCACTACAAAACCATACCTGTGAAGGACAGAGGTAAATAAACCGTATTACTTACTATAACAGATGGCACCTCAAACATGAAGAAGCTACAAAGAAGCCATAATTTTTTTAAAGTGTATGCCTTTATGCATACTTTTTTGTTCCTTTTTCATTCAGGTGTTCCATCAGTCTCCGACCACTCAACACTGTTTTGTAAGTAATTTCTAGAATTTAACCCATTTTAGCTAAATAAGTATCTTATTTGCTAGAGCAATTAATTCCAGAGCAAGGCAGTGAAAGTGAAGGAAGCAAGTGCACTTTTTGTTCAGTGGGAGGTTGTATTACCTGACACTAAAGACTGGATTGTTTCTCCTTTAGGGATTCACATTTTTGTTGCTTTGACATAACATAATGCTCAGTGACATTCCACACAGAAATGAAATGTTGGGGGCTCAATTTATGGTACCTGAGCAAACTTAAAGAATGATTGTAACACATATCATTTTCTGAAAAATCTGACAGCTTAGTAAAATATTCAAATACAGCAGTCATTCATTCACAAATTCTGACTCTATCTTTCAGTTGAACAATGTGGTTATTGTGTACAGAGCTCACATATTTCAGTGAAGACTGTAGTTACACTAGGTACAATACATTATTACTATTTTGCAATCCTGTAACAATTGATTCCAATGAATTTAACTGGGATATGTGATAGAATTGTAATAAGGACTGGGGCTCGATTTGGGTTTTGTTTCACTTCTTGAGAGGTATGATTTGTCATGGAGGAGTAAATGTCATAGCTTTGCAGTTTTTTATCTATGAACATCATTCCAGTTACACGTCTAATGTGCAGATACTTGTAGTTCTGAAAGTCTCTTGTAGGTGGAATTATAAATTACTTTACTCACACTCCCAACTGACACCTTATTATTGACCTATTTGTGTTATGTTCTGTTGATTCGTCTTATTCACTCACCATCTTATTCATTCACGTTTGACATGTATTTTGATGATTATATACAGTATATTTTTCCTGTCCTACTCAAGTTTAATAAGAGCTAAGGCTTACTGACAGGGACCTCTAGCGCAGGATTGACAAATGAAAGTAAGAGGGAGGGTTGACCAGGAGGAAGGAATCCTATCTGTATGCCTTACACATCCAAATCTGTCCTCTGGTAAACTTTGAATTAGGGAAAATTGTAAAATTAAAAAAAACTACAGCTCTCCACTGAAAAAAAAATAATCCATCTTCTTCTTTCAATTAGCTTTATATTTTAACTTCAGAAAAAACTTTCCATGTTGCAGAATACTCATAATTGCTAGCACTACAAATCTCTACCCCTAGGCATTAGTTAGGATTTGATCTCTACATATTATGTAGTGCTGGGCAATTCAGACTGCTATGTATGTTCATCTGCCAATGTCAGAAAAAAAGAACATGCTTACTATGTTATGAAGGATTTTTCCCTCAGAGTAAAAAACTGTTTTTAGTCTTCGTGTGGTACAATTTTAAATTACGCCCACTTCTCACAGAAGAATCCAGTAAGAATTCTCTGTCCACTGTTCCCTGACAATTTTGTCCACATCTTTCACCATCATAATACTTGTGAAAATGAACTTCACATGCTGCCATCAAAAGCAGTGCATGACACTTTTATGTATAAGAAAGTTTTCAAAGCACTGTGCGTAGTAAGTTTATTATGTATTTTTTAAAGCAAGATCACGTGTTCATATAGTCAGATGTATTTACAGACCACAGGACTGTATTGACTCAATTAGTGCTTGAACAGAGGGCATCCTTAGGGAAAATATTTCATCTTGATGACATTTTTGTTACAGATTTTGTTGTACTACATCATTATTTATAGAAGGTAATTAAGTCACTTGACAACGTAGTTTTGGGGTTTTTAATAATTACTATGTCTGTCTTCTGAAACTTCTCCATTCACAGATTATAAGGATGCACTGATACTGTGGCCATTTTTTCATTGGGATGCCAAGAGTTCATCCCTCATGGTGCCACTTGCTGCTTTTTACTGTTTCTTGACAAGACAGAGTTTCGTATACCATATATACCATCTTCAGTCTTTGACCTTATGTTAGGTCCTTACTTTTCACATACTTATCTTACTCATTACTCAGCGATACAGTATGATCTGAACATCTTCCTGATTAGTTTATTATACTGTCAATGTTTTGTTACCTTTAGATTTTATCTGTGAGAGGTTATGATTTTTTAAAAGATAAGTGGTAAAAACTATACGCATCAAGAACTTATTTATTACCGGACCCAGAACAAACATACACATGCACAAAGATGTTTTGTTCATTTCACAATATAACTTATTTAACTGCTATGACCATCTTAACAGCTATAGGAAGTCAAATGTAATTATTACACTATAGCATAGGTGGATTGACTTGTCATGGTATCTTATTTTTTCAAGAATTTCTTTACCTGCAAGTTTCAAATCCAAGTTCATGAGCTTTCTTCAGCTGTTCTAGTGTTGCCAAGGTACTATTGAGAGCTCTGCAGAGTTTGACTGCTTCAGGTCGTGTGAGACTGTAGCGACCATTTTTCTCAACATGAAAAACTCCTCCATATCTGCAGCTTACATTGAATTCTGTTATCAAAGAAAAAGAAAAAAAAGGTGTTACAAATTGTTAGACCTAATGCTTCACTGAAGACATGGAAATTGTTTATTTTCAAGTATAGTATTTTCAATGTAAACCACCAAGAAGTAGCAGTTAACAATTCATTCAGAAAAAGCACTACCACTTTCAATCACGTTCTTCGTACTTCCCCTCTTTGCACTGAGGCACAAGCCAAATCTTCAGTCTTTCCAAAAATAGCAATACAACATGTTTTTGTGAGATATCTAGCACTTTTAACATTCCATTAACAATAATGTGCAGATGATACACTTTGTGAAACCTTGGAAACCACACTGCTGCAAAACTAGGTGAATAGTCAGATGTACTTGAAAATAAAATATTTCATTCATAACAGGTTTCTTAAAAGATGAAATGAGGAATAATAAGAGTTTTTGTGATCATTAAGTTCTTTGATTGTCTTATTGCCATCCCTTTACAGTGTATGAATTTATATGTCAATTCCCAGTTTCAGAACCAGTTCAAGTAACATGTTCCTATTATGTGCTAGGCAAAAGCAGAAAGTGGTTGGATTTTCATGATCTCCTTGAGATAAGAACTATTCATGGTCTACCTGAGACAAAAACTAAGTAAGTCTGGACTAGAACAACATTATGTTGTTAAATACTCCCTGAAAGATAATCTTTAAACTCTTCATATTCAGCCTGCTGGGGCAGATAAAGAAGTGTCAAATACACGCTATATAAGAGTTCACATGAATTAATTTCTTGCCACCTTTTCATTCATCTGACAATATTTCCCTCCATTTTGAAAGGCTTCTTCTTGCTGAGTTCATGCTCTCTCACAAACATCTTACTGCCAACTCATGTCAGAGATTCAATATGTACTGCAGTGTTCGTTTAATGTTAAAGGTTATCTTGGACGGATTTTAACCTAATAATACCATAAAGACTTGCACATGGAAGCAAATTTCAATGGCAAAATGTATGAGGATAAAATTAAAAAAAAATAGTTTATACAGTTACATACAATTCATTTTCTGGCCACAAGCCTGGCAAACCTGAACAAGCAGTATTTGCAAAGCCTGAGTGAGGGGAACACCTCATCCAAATTACTAGAGATACTGAATGAAAGGCATAAGGGCTAGAGGCTCTGAGGAGATCATCCTCCATTCATCTTTTTGTTGGAAAAATACTGCCTGCATAATGCAACAAGTAAAGTGGGGAAATGGCATAATCCAGGAAAAGTTTGTGACTGATAAAACGAGAGAAAAAATAAATATTATCTGTCATCTTTTTTAACAGAAGCAGCTAAAAAAGAGTTAATAATAATAATATTACCAATAATAATAACAATACAAATAAAAACAATCATGTGCATGGAGAAAAATCAGGGAAGAACAGGACACTTCCAAGCAATGTGAATTGACTTTGCTTTTGCCCCACCTTTCCCTCTAGAGAAAAAAAGCAATTGCAACTCCAGACTAGCATGACAACAGCAAAGAACACTTAATAGGAGTAACCTATTATTCCCAGTGAGAAGAGGAGTATGACTCATTTTTATCTTATTTTTAGTGGAAGTTCCATGTGCAAGAAAGGGAAAAATAGACTAGTCTCCTCCAAATATCAAAAGGGTGTGTTTGTACCATCTATTTGAAAAAAAAAAGACATATAATAACTGCTTTTCTGAAGGACCTGAAATGCAGTTCATACGCATTTCCATTGACACATACTATGTGAACAAGTAACTTTCCTAATGTTATTCTTGCTTGACAGTCTATTTTCTTCTATAGCATAGATGTGAAAGCAAATGATAGTAAATAAAGCATGCACTCTTTCTTCAATTACTTTTGTTCATTGGCAAACTGACGTTATTCTATGTACAGTGTATCTACTAAGTGTAAACTGCACAGAACATTCCTTTACGTAGCTCACAGGAAACAATCAAGGAGATAAAACACCAGATTAAACCCAGATTGTATGATGTATGAGAAGACAATCATTATTCATAGCTTGGGTAGAGTCCAATGGTATTGATGTTTGCTTGACCAAAGGAGCTCAAAAGCTGTGCATCCAATCTTGAATACTTTTACCATAGGCAACAAAATTAACCATTATGGTTACTTGGATTGCCTTTCCCCAAAAAGAATGTACAAAGTATCTCTGCTCCCTCCACCCCGAGCTCCCCCCCTTCAGTATTTTGGCTGAAGAAAAAAATTTCAGTTTAGACAAAATCAATATACATTGCAGAGCTGTTTAACAGCCTTGCTGATTACAATTGTTAGTGTTTGTATTATCATACTCTATTAAAAAAATCAAGAACACATAATTTTTAGCTTTGTAAAATTTATGCAGGACTAACATTCTCTCAAAATGCCTTTTTGCTTGACATAGTTGTTTTCTTCTTCCAGGGAAAAATAGTTCTGCAGAAATTTCTCTGATGACAGACATGTCATAAGAGGTTTTGAAGGCAAGAATGAGGAACCTGTTTGGCAGAGGACACTAAAAAATACATTTCTCTTTCCTGGGGGACTTAATGTCCTGCAACAGGGGTTAGTTTCAGCAAGTTCCCACACGTGATTGTGAAATTGTGACAGTGCTCCCCACAAGTGCCAGATGTAGATGTGCACAGCACTGGTCCTGGGAATAGTTGATGGACTTGAGACCTTCTGTGGCCACACTCCTGACTGAACACCACCACATGCTGAAAAGTCATCACCACATATGCACAGTGTCACAGATGTAGTCAACAAACCACAGGATGCAGATCCCAATAGATGTTTCCTTATAACAGCACGACGAATAGCTGCTCTGCATAGAAGGATGTGGTCCTTCTGCCACTCCTTGGCTACTCCTATGGGATGGAGCTGCTCTTGCAGCTGCCATGCAAGTGACTTCTACTTTTGCTACAAATGTTTCATATTCAAATACCGACATTATCTTGGAAGTTGTCCAGTCAGTAGCTGTATTAAACATAAACGACCTAGACAAGAAAAAGGCTTCTTTTTGGTTTTTTCTTCTTAATTCTCTCTTCCCTGTAGAACAAAACAGGCTGAAATTTGTTAATAATGAAACATATTCTGTGAAGTCCAAGACTTAATATTATATTTGGGGATCAGATCACAAAGTTCTGTTTGATTACTTAAAAGTAACAGGCTCAGTGTTCTTGGAGATAGATTTACTTGAAACATCAACACCTTTTCTGATAACTTTAGGCTAATTTCTGAAGAACTGTGAAAGCAGATACCACATGCATTGGGTGGCATTTGATAGCAGTTAATCCTATAGTCACTGAATCACAAAGTGAAGTTTACTTTTGTTTAGAGTGAGTTCATTTAACTGTCATCAAACCTCAGCCCATTCATAGTTTTAAACACGACAATATATGCTCCATTAACACCCAGCTACTCAGTAATAGTCAGAATTCCACCAAGAGTCAATTCCTTAGACTTCAAGAGTTTAAAAAATTAGGCTTATTTACACAAATAGGCTTAATGGAACTCCTTGTAGGCTACATGCCTACGCATGTGTACATTTTTCATGGAAATGCTTAGCTTGGATCTACAGTGCGCATACTGCACACCAGGACACTTCTGGGAAGTATCAGGTTTATTGCACATGTGCTGCCCAATTGCACTGCATGCCCACACAGGAGGGCCAATGCTCTCAGGAAGCCTTGCTCATGCAGCATGAGAGATCACGTGGGTGTCCAGGAAACCCCAGGCAAAAATGTGGCAATCCAATTCTCAAAACTGGATTTAAGGCCATCCAATTCCTTGGCACTGTGCCCTAAAGTAATGCTGAGACAGCATGTTTGTTTTCACTTCGATGATATCTTCTACACCTACTATTAAAAATGTACCATTGCTGTAGTATAGACACTCTGTTCATGAAGAAGTGAATACAGAAAAAGGACTATCACAGTACCTAAAACTCACACAATATTTCACAGTCTAAGCCAATTGCATAAATTCAACATCTAGTTTTTGAAGACAGTAATTACCACATTTTAAGAATGACAAAATACAAATGCAGAGCACGCAACCCAGATCTGTCTGGTAGCACAGTATTTTTACTTTATAGTCTCCTCATCCAGACAATGAGGATCCTTAACTGAAGTAATGAAAAAACTTCTAATCATATCAATAGAAAACTTAACAAAAATAAAAGATGAAGTCTAAACCAAATTAATACCTTAAATTCTTTTTCCCATGGTGAGGCTTACAGACTTATTTTGAGTTAAGGAAGAAACATGATTGCCAAAACCAAATCTAAATGCATATTCTATCTTTTCCGATGGTGCAGGAAGATCAAATCTATTACTTTTTATTGATGTCACTTAACTGGTTTTAACACAGTTATGCAAAAGATGGATTTTTGCTCTGTTTCGAGAGACAAGGTAATACAATTGTGTAACAAACTATTACTGATCCCTTTAACCATTTTGAAGCTTAAAGGAGTGATTCAGAGTGGACTTTCAGTGACATCCCAAGCAGCATCCAAACCTTCACTCCTGCCTCCTCTCAGAGCTGTCTGGCTTTGGGTGCTCACAGGCCATGAGCCTTCCCTGACATCCACGTAATTTGCTACAGCTGTTTAATACTAGCTCCTTAAAAAGCAAAAAGTACTAAACATGTCTGAATTATCATCATCATTTATCTCATCCAGATCATGAGACTGGGTGACACAATCCAAAGTCATGGAATGCCCCTAAGTCTGTGATGAGTGTTATGGGCATGGAGAATGTTAGCTTCCACATAGGCCATTTCTCTCCATCTTTTCTGGGATTTCTGATGCCCTGTCCCAAGCAGCTGCATGCAAACCTTTCTCTGTTGGCTGTTGCCATTCACAAAGATAAACCATGCTCAATTAATACTTGTCAGCCAAAATCACTAACTTTAGTTCCCCAGACAATTTCCTAGCTAGAGCCCACCGATGGTATAGAATTATCTTAGGCATACTAAAGAGCATTGTCCTGTCATGGAAGTGTGAGTTACACCCTGATTATTAAT